CCGTTCTGTCGTTTAGAGATTAAAACTTTATTTTGAAAACCGTTCTGTCGTTTAGAGCAGTGGTTCTCAAACTTTTTACAGCGGCGTACCCCCTGGGGCATTTAACATTCTTCTGCGTACCCCCTCTCTTCCACTTAGACCACAGTCACACCAAAGGACAATAGGACAATATTTGTCCCCTTAAATTGATTTGCAGGTGCATTTTTTACCTTTATAGAAGCAAATATTTTCTATTCTTATTAATTGTATGTCATATTTTATATCATATTCTTAACATTCAATTAAGTGTATTATTAATATAATAAATAAAGCAATGAATGATGGCAAATTGAAGTGATACTTGTAGATTTAAAAATAAAACTGCCATAGATGGTGGCAAGTCGCTGTCTTAATGAGCCAGGCATCGCGTCATTCATTCAGTAACGAAGCAAAATGCTGTAGTTATGAATAGGTTATTAATCACTGACTCTCCAAATCATTCAAAGCATCAGATTCATTCACTAATGAAACACTGCTGTATGTTGCCTGGAGACGCACACCAGATGATATTTTGTTGGAACTATTATTTCGTTGCAAAATAGAACAAACATGACATTATTCTGTTTAAAATGTAGGCTACATTTAAAATGTAAAATGTTCACTTAATATGACCTTTTTTGTTGAACTGTTGTAAAAATTAATGCCACATTTGCCATCGATTTGCTAAAGCAGCATATTCAGCGGGCATCCTATCACATGCATGCTGCTTGTGTGGATGCAGTCAGTTTTGACCGCAAAAGATGAGGTAAACAGATTGGATATCATGTATTTGACAGTTTACGCCACTCCCATTTTCCTGATTTTACATTAAAAGTGGCATTTTGCTTGTCAGAAATACATGTTCGGTTTTAATGTTACTCTGAGGTCGATTAACGCGGATACGCGTTTTGAGGCATCTTCTCCTGATCACACCGAAAAGAACTTAAATTACACTTTCAGTTTTGATCTTACAGATAAGAGCAATACATTAATCGAATCTGTAAAGGGTCTACTTTTATTTGTATACACACATAATAACAACAGAACTTTGTGCATTTATAAAATAAAGAAAACAAACAGGGTGTGCTGTCTGCGGCCTTGGTCTGCGTAATCTTTATTTAGAAACGCGTCATTAAAATGAACTGTAACTCAGCAAATACTCAACAAAGAGACATGAGAGATATATCC